ACTTCAGTTATGGTCCGGTGGTACATGCCGTGTAGGGGCTTGTCCTCCCATGATGGTCCCTCTTCCAGCACCTCATCCTCTGTTCCCCATTGTCTGAGGCATTCTCTGAGTACGTCATCCGTTGGAGCCTTCTCCTTGATGTATTCATGGAGCTTGGATGTTTCATCCTGGACAGTAGCTCTCATACTCACTCGTCCCGGGCCTCCTTCCTTACGGTTTGCGTACAGTCTCAGGGTGCTGGATTTGGGATGGAACCCTCCATGCATGGTTAGAAGCTTTCGGGTCTTAACATCCGTGGTCTGAAACTCTTCCTTTGGCCACCTATTATTCCTGCAGGGTATCTGATCACTGGTAGGGCATAGCTGTTTATTGCCCGGGTCTTGTTCTTGCCATTGAGCTGGCTTCTTAGGACTTGCCTCACCCACTGGAGGTATTTGGCCGTAGCCGCTTTCCTTGTTTCCAGTTCGAGGTTGCCATTGGCTTGTGTATCCCGAGGTACTTGTAGCTGTCCTGAATGTCTGCTATTGTTCCTTCAGGGAGTGAGACACCTTCAGTGTGGACTACCTTGCCTCTCTTAGTCACCATCCGACTACATTTCTCAAGCCCGAATGACATCCCGATGTCACTGCTGTAGATCCTGGTTGTGTGGATCAGGGAGTCTATGTCCCTTTCACTCTTTGCATACAGCTTTATGTCATCCATGTAGAGGAGGTGACTGATCGTAGCTCCATTTCTGAAGCGGTATCCATAGCCTGTCTTGGCGATTACTTGGCTTAGGGGGCTCAGTCCTATACAGAACAGCAGTGGGGAGAATGCATCACCTTGGTGTATGCCACATTTGATGGGCACTTGGGTAAGTGGCTTGCCATTGGCTTCAAGTGTGGTTTTCCACATCCTCATATATCGTTGTTGTTTTTTTTTTTAACAAAAAAAAAACTCCAAACGGACTTTTGCTGAAATAATTCTGACTTTGGTGCCAAAATGACATTTGCTCTCATGATAGTCCAACTCTATTGTCACCGTATTCGAATCAAAATCAAAAAAGTTTTTGCAATCATTTTTTTCCAGCATGTCTCCCCATCGTCAGGATGTCTCTCCTCTGACCCGCAGAGAGGCTGCATGGCCACTGATTGTGCTGAAGAGGCATCTAGAGTGCCGAGACGCATTCTGCAAGCTCTCGAAATGGCCTGCGTTCGGGCCAAAACCACTCGGAGGACTGAGAGGCTTCTCTAAATCATGCATATGTGAGGATGAGCAGAAGAGAAGAAAACTTCAACTAAGGTCAGGAGCGCACACTTCTGTTGCAAGAATTTTCTGTTGTCAGAAATTTTTTCTTCTGCCGCAGTCAAGGAAGTGAAAAGAAGAATCTTCTTTGAAATGCCTTCAGATCACCATGTGTTAAATTTGCAGTACCCCAAATCAAGTCACCTGACCGAAAATTCTTGTGGCTGGGGGGCGGTCAGGACTCGACCTTTTCTGCTACAATCCACATTTTTGCAAGAAAATTGCATTCATTTGTTCCAAACAATCTATTCTTTTCCAAACATTTTCTTGTCTGCACTGCTTCCAGTACATATATGTGCATCTTGAAATATTATGGATTTTTTGGGGGCGGGGGGGTCCAATCAGATGTCAGACACTGCGTTGCCATGTCACTCTAGTCTCCCCAAGGCCCTCACAATCAGTCATGCAACGTTACTTCAACGATATTAGCAGTGAGTACTCTTTCCTTAACCAGTCCAATTTCAAATAATCCTCATGGAGCCAGAACACTGACCCTTGATGGCGTCAGCATTTTCTTTTTGTCCGATATTCTGTACAGTGGTACGTCTACTTACGAACGTCTCTTCATATGACATTTTCAAGTTACGAAACGCCTCAACAGGAAAATATTGCCTCTTTTTACGAAAGAAATGTCAAGATACGAAAGGTAAAAATACAGTCTGGCCTGCTCCTCGCAGCTCCGACTTTCCTGAACACAACATACTTATTGCTGCTCTGCCATTGGCTATTACCGAGCATCTTCCTAGCCGCATAGACACATCTCCATAGACATGTGTCTATGCAGCGTCCTTGTCATTCGCCCCTCGGGCCATGAGGTATTCGAGACAGTTTTACGTAAATGTGAATTCCCAGAAAAGGTGTTCACCAGTCGTGCGATCGTTCGCTATGCTGAGGTTTGCCTTGGACATTTTCAAAGGATTGTTCAAAGCCAACAAAAGCGACCGTCCTCAGATCAGTTCTTTACAAAACGCCAGGCAAAAACCACTTCTGAGTGAGAACATGAACTAAAGAGGGCAAAAAACAATGACGACGCAGTAAAAAGTTAAATGACCATAATTTTTATTCTTTACTCTATTTCTTGTTTTTTCCATTGTGCACAACTCTCATTTATTGTGCAATAATCTAAATGCAACATGTTTGTGTTTTTTATTTGGATGCATTTTTATGCTTTAGAAAACATTTATGTCAGAATTTTTTGGGGGGGAGGGGCTTGGTACGAATTAGCGCATTTACTTGGAAAATGCTTCTCGACTTACAAAATGTTCTAGTTGAGAAAATGTCTCCCAGAACCAATTAATTTCTTAAGTCGAGGTAACACTGTATATAATATACTGGAGTTACAATTTCTTAATTTAAGTTTTCCATCTCATTGCCACTGTGCAGTATGTGAACCACTACACTGCCAGCAGATGCAAATTCTCACTCTAGCCTTCCCGACGGTCACGTGTCTTACCTTCTCACACATTGCCTCCTTCCACCCGCCTCCCTCGCTCGCTCCCCCTCGCTCTCCTAACTGTACTCTCCTCTTTTGCAGCCTTCTCCCTCACACACTCACGCGGCATCCTCCCCTCTCACTCAGCTCTCCTCCTTCCTCTTCTCTCATCCGCCGGCACATCTCACCTTTTGCATCCCACCACGTCTCGCCCCAGCCCTCCCACCTCCGTCTCGCCTCGCCTCCTCTTCCCCCCCTCACCTTCTGACACACACACACACACACACACACACACACACACACACACACACACACACACACACACACACACACACACACAAGTAAAAAACTCCCTCAAATAAAAAAACACACACACACACGTGCCAATTGTCAGACTGAGACCAGAGCGACGGTCACTTAACAGTTTGCTGGCGCCTTGCGGCTTCTTGACACCGAGCGCAGCTGAGGAAGAGGACGCGGCCATGGAGCACAGCCACATCTTCCCCGTTTCCACCGCCAACGAGAGCAGCCGGAGCGTCGGGCAGCATCCCTCGGAGGGGGCCCCGGGATGTCCCCTTGGACCGCTGCCTGTCATCTACTACAGCGTCTTGCTGTGTCTCGGCCTGCCGGGTAAGAAACGTGCTCACAAGTCTTTTATGTGCACCTTTCACCATGGCTCCCTAAAGTTGATTTGTTGTGTGTTTGCGTGTGTGTGTGTGCATGTGTTGCGCATGCGTTGGTGTACTTTGTCGCTCGCCGCTTTGATTGCAAGTATTCAGAATTTGCATAAAAGAAAGATTTCAATAAATCCTGATACAAAATGAATGCTCGCTGCTCGCACTGCGACACCTCAAACAGAAGAATATTTGCACGATGTTTGGGATAGCCCAGCTTTGACCTCTGCGACAAGTGAGCATTTGCACCTGATGAATGAATGACAGTGACTTGATTAGTCTGCAGGTAGTGATATGGTCCCGCGGCGCAATATGTGAAAGGGTACCCCAGCTGACTATGGGATGCAAAGTCTTGCCTTGCTGTGTGTTCATGTGAGTGACACAGACAGAAGCGTGGAGGTCAGATGAAAGAGGACGATGGTGCAGTCAAATCGCCATCGAAATCACAAAAGCGTTTTTTTTTAATGCTCGGTGGTTGGAATTTTGTGTCCTGTCGACAAGCCTCGACACACGTAGAGACAGACAACCATTCACCTTCACATTAATGCACATTCATGGAAAAAAACAAAATGATGAAGATACTGTCATGCCCTTGCACGTGGGCAAGGAGAGCCAGAGTGGCCGACGCACTTTCACTTGTTTATTGAACAGAACAGTCAAACACACAAATACAAAAGAAGATGCTGCAGGCTCACACTGAACTATATCCAAACTGACCCTGGCCTCTGATGTCACTCGCTAGGCCGTGCCCCTCAAAGGCACACAGTAATTACACTTAAAAAAAAAAGTGATTTATTTTATTTATCATTTTTCAAAAGCACCAACCCAAAAATTGTGATGATTTTTCACCAATTTGCAAATTAAGAAAAAAAAACACCCTTCATCCAATCACAAAATGGAACAATATTTTTTTTTTTGTACTTGTGCACTGTTTACACAGTATCAACAAAAATATTCTCAAGCAGTGTCAAAATCCGCAAATAAGATAAGAAAACCTTTATTTGTCTCACAATGGAGAAATTCGTAAAATAGCCGCCCAAATTTATTTGTGGGGACCTGTCAGAGATAAATGAAAAATATCTTATTTCGTAGATCTGATTGATGATATACCCTTGATTGGATTCGTGAATTAGGACATTGCAGCAATCAGAAAAAAGAATCAAAAAAAATGTCAAATATCGTCCGATTCGATTCTGTCAGAGATAAAGGAAAAATATCTTATTTCGTAGATCTGATTGACATTGCAGCAATCAGAAAAATGAATCAAAAAAAATGTCAAATATCGTCCGATTCGATAGAGCCAAAGAGATCGATGGCATGTCTAGTTTTTAGTGAACTGGAATGGATTAGCTCCACCTCAATTGATTTTAATGTACAGTCGAACCTCGTTTTAACGTACCACGTTTATGTTTTCGCCGCTCTAACGTTCCCATTTCAAAGTCCCACATTCTCCATTTTGCGTACAGCGAACGTCAAACGTAAACTTCAATATAGCGACCAGATTTTTCCCCACAAAATAGTGTAAATGCCTTCGTTACAACGAACCGTGGGAAGCGATCTGCCGCTGCGATGTTGCTTATGAACAAAATATACAACGCGGGAGGGATTCCGGTCCGTTGCTGAGCAACGTTACTGATTGACTCGTACATTGTTGTACTTCCGGAGGCATGGCGCGGTCCTGAGCACAACGGAAGCAAATCTCGCTGTCTGTGATAGCTGAAATTGTCTCTCGTTTTCGAAAGGGAGGCCCCTTGACGAAAGACAGACGAGACTGCGAATTGGCAAAGTCAACAATTTCGACAATCATCCGTAACGGCAACAAAATCATGGCGGAGTTCGAGGCCAACAGATTGAAAGATGATCATACGCGGATTCGGGGTGAACTGGAGAAGGCACTTTTCATTTGCTGACTCACTGTTTTCTTCATACTGTATACACGTTTTTGTCATACTGTATTACATGTTCATGTTTTTACATCTAGAAATGTTCAGACATGCATCGTAGTTGGCGGCCATTTTATTGGAAACGGTTCCAACGAACTACCGTTATAACGATTCGTTATGTCCTTCGAGGTACAAGGTTCGACTGTATTTGTCGCGCATAAATTGAATCACAAGCTTGGTTACGGAGCAAATTAAAGTGATAAATCCAAGGTACTGCTCTCATGGACATCATCTCTTTAAGTCTCCGTGTTGGGTATTACACGTGGACCACATTAGAGCTGCAGTGCGACATTAAAAAGGCAATTTTGTCCGCCAAGGCCGAACAGAGTTTTCTTTTGTGAGACGGTAAAATCCCCGCGCTCACATCATCCCTAATCAGTCCCTCCAAGATGCCGCCGGAACAATTGCCTCCGTCGCCGCCAGCGTTTTCTTCCACCCTGCCGCTGCGGCGTCCTCGCCAAACGCGACGGCGGCCGGCTGTTTGTTTAATCAGCGTAACCCGATAGAGTAATGGAATCCCGTAACGGTTGTCTGAATTAATGGCCGACTTGAGTGCGACGGCCTGATAGTTTGCAGCAGTCAGTGCAACTTATTCAATCATTATGACAGCGCTCGTCGCTCTCCAGCCGGGCCCATGAATGTTTCATGAGCGGCGGCGGGCGCGACCCGCCAACCCACGTGGTATTTTACGCTCGCGATCGATTGCGGCTGCTCGATTAATTACGACACCGTGTTTCCTCGGTCGACACGCGAGCCCGTCGTCGTCACATCTGCACTTGCTAACCGAGGTCAAAGGAGGTCACGTTGATCGCGCCGATATCATATTAGGTTGAGTAAGATACTCTGATACTATCATATTTCTTCGCTGCAACCGTACGTTTAGCGCCCTTGTTTATGAAGTCATCGGATTGTGTGGTCAAGGAGATTAATTTGTGACCGCAGGGTATCTAACGGGACTTTAACTCAAACCTTACACAAAACCCATAATGTATATTTAACCCTCCCGATTGATCTGGGTGGTTCACCAGAAAAAAAAAAAGAAAATCTGGAGTTTTCTGTTTCTTTCTCTGCAGTCGAACATGGGTTGGTTTCATGGAAAACACCAATTTCAGACCCAAAAGCAGAGAAAAATCAGTCTTTTGTCAAAAACATGTCAAGAAGAACAGTGACTGATTCCAGTACCGTATTGGCCCAAATATAAGACGGTGTTTTCTGTATTGAAATAAGACTGAAAATGTGGGGGTCGTCTTATATTCGGGGTCTAGACATTATACCCATTCACGGCGCTAGATGGCGCCAGATATCATTGAAGCGAATGCTGAACTTGACTCCCCGGGCCAAAGTGAACCCCTGTCACGAATAAAAATAAAAATAGCGGTAGCACGAAGAAGAAAAATAAAAAATAGCGGTAAGAAAGAAAAGAAGAAAATAATAGAAGAGATAACAGAAAATGGAGAAACGTAGCGACAATGTGGAGAAAAGTGGGTCGAAGATCGGCCAGGTTAATCGGCAGCTGAGGAGAAGTTATGATGTCATTTACATTTCAAAAACCAGAAGCCATTCATTTACGAATGTGATTGCACTTTAGTTTACATATTTAAAAGTTCAGATATTAAGATTTGAATGAGGCAAAATAACATGCTTTTTCTCTCAAATATATTGTTAGAATCATTTGTTTCAAATGTACTGTAATTATTTTCTGTATAAAAATTAATTTGGTGTTCAAAAAGTCTTTTTTCAAACTTGAATCTTGAAAAAGAGGGGGTCGTCTTATAATCAGGGCCGTCTTATATTCGGGCCAATAGGGTATTTTTTTTCTTTTGTGACAGCTCAAACTCTGAAACAACAAAAACAACATTCAGAGGTTTTTTTTTCATCAAAATATACACGTCGAGTTGAATGTCATTTCCTTTTTTTTAACACTCTGTTCATCATTCACTCCATCTTTTCTCACAGTCGCAACACACACTTCCGACCACAACACACGTGTGAGGCGCCTAAACTTGTCTGATTTCCAACATGTTCTCTGCCTCATGATTGAACGGAATCAAATTTCTTGTCTTGGCACATGCACGAGTGCGCAGCAATGAAATTCACTTAACACTTACAACCCATGCAAAAAAGCGAGCCAGAACGGAGAAACCTGGCGGGTGGCCAAAGATTTTTCTTCGAAAGACATAAGGAAGGGAGAGGGGAATATGGGGGGGGGGGGGGGGGGGGGCATTAGATGGGAAAAAAAATCCTCTGCGGCAGTGACATGAATAGGAGACATAAACAATAGGGTTTCAAAATACTTGCACAAGCGGGAGACGATGGGGTGATCATGTACGTCTGTGTCCTCGGTCACCTGTCGGCACGCCAAAACACGCTGTCTTGTTGCCATGAAGACGACCTCGCTGACAACGACCAGCCGAGATTCACCAACTCACAAAGGCTGCTAATCTCCGATCCAGAGAGACGCAACACTGCGGTCAACTGGCGCCTGTTCATCATTACGCTTATGTCGAAACTTGACAACATGGTGGGCATTTTTGCACCTGACCTTTGAGCGAAGTCATGTTAATCGTGCCACTGTAAAGGTGGTTGAGGGTGGCGTTGCTAAATGTGCCGAGAAATGATGACGGGGTTTGAGCTTTGCCTCAGGTATGGAGTTTCAGTATCTCGGGGTCTTGTTCAGTAGGAGAGGCGTGACCCATAACCTCTTCCCGCTGATTTGATTGTGCCTCTTCCCTCAATTACAACTCGATTTCAATTACGTGTTTCATCCGGTGACACGCGAGCGCCGCGTTGTCACATCTGCATTTCACACCTGACCTTTGAAGGGAGGTCGCGTTGATCGGCGCCCGCGTAAGGGCGGCTGAGGGTGACGGCAAATGGGATTACGTGGCGTCAAGTAGTGGGAAATGATTACTGTGTCACGCACACTCACGTAACACAAAAAGGGGATCAAGGACGGGGGCAGGCTGGAGTTTTGCCATCAGAGCGGAGACGCGAGATTAATGAGAGACGAAGC